AGTACATCACATTCACTTAATAAAGTATTTTCATTTTTAAAATTTATATTTAGATTCAACATAGGCAGTACCCTAATTCAATCACTCGATTGATCCAAAGAAATTTCCTTATTTTTATTACATATATTTAATTTTATGAAATAAAAATATTTTATGATTTATATAGTAAATATCTACAACAAATGAAAATATATTAAGATTATAAATTATGTATCTAAAGATAAATTAATTATTTTTTTACTTTATGCATATTCATAAAAAATAAACATAGTAATTTCAAAAAATTAAAATTAATTGATTGGTTATGCAATTGAAACGATGACTTGATATTAACATGAGTTACTACGTATAAATAATATTTTGTATTATGTTATTCATATGTTATTAAATATCATAAACAAGTGGTGTTATAACTAAGAAAGTGTTTTAAAAATTAATTAAATTCTCATTTTATATATAATATATTTCTAATACCTTTCTCCCAAAATTTGATTACCAAAAATCATAGTATACAAAACATAATTTCTGAAATTGGAAAAATATCAAGAGATTGGTACAAAAATTGAAAGGCAAAATATTAGGAAAATATTTCAATTTAAAATTATGTGATATTTATTATTGATAAGAAAAGATGATCTTCCACAATTGTAAAGTAGAGAATCTGAAATATATAGTGATATTAGGAAAATGTTGTTATGAACTGGGTGTAAAATTACACGGGAATCCTAGGAACTGATATGTAATTTTCAGTTCTTACAAATAATCTAAAAATATAAAATTACAATTGAACTGAAAAATAAATTACAACTGAAGAATAAATTAAATCTTAAAAACAAAACGGAAAGATTAAAGCCGAGGCGAGTAAAACTCTTTCCGCAAGAAGAATATGCCCCGTGTGGCAGCTAACGGTTCAGGCGTAACTTCTCCAAAGATACAACGGCAAACGTCTCTAAATCTGTAGCACACCAGATTTACGAAGTTCGTTGAACTTGAACGGAGTCAAGAATTGAGCACTAAAAAATAGGAACAAAAATATCTTTCTTTTGTTATTTTGATAACAAATAAATATTTTTATTCCTCAAATATTCTTCCTTACTAAATATTTTTAAATATTTCTTTCCTTTCTTTCTTCTCTTTTCTCTCTCTTTTTCTTGTGTCTTTTCTTCCATCAAACCTTCCCCTATTTATAGAAAATTCTATCAAATAAAAAACTATATATTTTTTTTATTGTAATTAGTTGGAATATTAGGAAGAATATTAGAAAGAATATGAATATTAGGAAGAATAAGAATCATTTGGTGGAATATTAGTTAGCAAAATTAATTTAACACTCAAACTATTTACAAATGTCAGAACTGCAATTGTTGGTAGGAAGTATTTGTTTTGGTGATAATGTAGATTGGAAGGCTAATTATTTAATTATGGGATTATCTATATTTAATTATTTATATGGAAATTTGGTACACATAAACAAATTTGGTTAAAAAAAAGGCAACCCGATTTGTAATGATTCATTTGAAAAAGGCAATCAAATTTTAATGAAAATTTGTTAAGAAATTTTATAATCCATTTAAAATGTAGAATAAAGAATTTCCAAAAAAGGCAATTCAATATTTTTTTTGCAAGAAATAGTTACTATTTAAAAAATAATCAAATATATATATATATATATAGATATAGATATATATTTTTTAATTATTTAATAAATTTCAATTGAACAAACCGATGTGAACAATCTTATATCCAATCCCTTTCGGTTGTTGTAAGACAAACCTAATTAATCCCGAGAAAGACATTTTCGCACCATATATTGATACAAAGCTGTAGTCAAAATTAAAATCTAGTACATTGTACCATGATACATATCCCATCTCAAATATTTGAATTATTCTTCGGATCCATATATAAAGAGGTTGAATTGTCTTCCACTTTAGGCCCACGAGAAAGAGATGGATCTGTGACTTGGTTCATTTGGATCTGACCCGAACCATTAAGTTTGTGGCGTCTGTGTGCACAAATCTTATCCGTTGAATATCATACTTTCACATAGTTATCATATACCATATGAATGTGTTGATCTAACAGTAAAAACTTCATGCCTACATGTAGTTTGTATTGGAAAATTTATAGGGAAAATAAACTTTGGAGGTTTGTAGGAACACACTAGATATAAGTATATGTTATCCAGGATACAACAATTAGATCAAATTAAATCCTACAAAATATCAACATGAAATAAAATGCTATGAAATATAAAAAAATCTTTCAAAATTCCACAAAAGCCAGTACAATTTATAGGCATTAACTCTCAAAATTTAAAGATGCCGAGTTAACATCTTCCAATATTAAATTCAACTATTACAATACCCGTGTGCTACACAGGTATTTGTTAAAAAACAGGCCCCGTTTGGTAGATAGCGGATTGTAGATAAATTAGCGGATTAGACTTAATTGAGAGGTTTGACCCGTCAAATCCGCTATTGAGCTTGTTTGGTAAATAGCTTATTTGTTAAGCTTTTTGGGCCCAAAACTCTAATTTATAAAAAGCTCATTAGAGCAGCGTTTTGGAGATATAGAATTCACAAAAAAACTCACCAACATAAATGTTCCATATTTTGCATCTTTCTCTCTCCTTTTTGGTGCTAATAAATAATAATATGTCATCAATATGATTAATTTCTCTAGAAAAATGTAAAATTAACTTTCTCATCAAGTGTTAGTAAATTTAAAAAAAAAAATATATATTTATAAATTACCAATTAAAGAATATTAAATGTTTTAATATATTATTATTAAAAGAATACACTCTAAATAATAAAATGTCCTTATTGGTCATTTTGCAATGTCAAACAGGTACAAACTTTCAGTTATTTACCAAACACTTATTTAAAAACCACTAATGCAATCCGCTGGTCAAATCAACTAATATAATCCGCTATCCGCTGATCGCCAAACAAGGCCATATATATATTTAAAATTAAATAACAATAACAAATTATTTTAGTTTGTAAATACTTTTTTGAAAAATATATTATTATTTATACTTAAATTGATACCGTCAATTACACGACTCACCATCTTATATTATATAATTTTTTGATTTATATTATATCACTACTTTGTAGTTTGTAGTTCAGTTAGTTTAAATAATTATATTTTTTCAAATTAATATTAATAGGTAATTTAAAATCTCATTTAAAACTACTTTATTCAATATAGATATATACTCTATTTTATGAATTAAATTTATGTTAATAAAGAATGATATAAAATGTATTTTTAATGATATAAAATATGAAAAAGTAATACATATATGAATTAGTTAAAAACTCATTTAAAACTACAGAATACCAAATTTACGCAATTATCTTAAGATATACTCCCATAATAATATGATAGAGTTAATACATAGGCAATAAATTTATGGTAATGACAGATATATTTATAGGATGCAATAATGTAAGATGAAATGATTATTTATGGTTGATTCCAAACTGATTATGTTTCCAAATTTTTTATTCGAACCTAAATACGAAGCATAATAATTTGACACGTATGATTCCAAACGTGCGAACCTGCCACTTAGGCTCAGCACGTTTTGAATTAATATATAGGAGAGATTTGCAAGGAGACACAAGGTACAAAAGTTAAATTGAAGATAGAGGAGTTAACACCCTGCAATATTAAAAATCCTTATAGCATCTCGCAACATTAAAAAATAAAGTTACGAATTAAATTAATGTTTTTTTTTCCAATAGGGTGAAGTTCACCACCTAATATGTATATTACCACCCCCACACTACATAAAAATTGCTATATTCCAATGAAAAATCTTATGGTAATATATTCTAATGGAAATTTCAACGGATATTCCAATGGCGTAGGTTCAGTTGGAATGATTTCAACGGAAGTTCCAACCAAAATATTCCGTTGGAATGTGTTTTTCATTGGAATTTTAGATGGAATTTAATAATTCCAACGGCTTTTTACTGTAAGAATTTCCGTTGGAACAATTTTCGTTGGAATTTTTATTTCCACCCCCGTTGGAAAGTCTACCATTGAAATCACCAAAATCCAACGGAAATTCCAATGAAAAATCCATTCCAACGAAATATTTTTGTTGGAATTTCCGTTGAAATCTATTAGAAAATTCCAATGGAAATAATAACATTAAAAAATATCCATTAGAATTGTTGTTGGAATTCTAATTGAATATATTTCCGTTGGAATTCCATCATTTTCTTGTAGTGCTATGACTTGATTAACATGTCATCATTTTGATACAAATGTCTTACACAGTTATACGAGAGAATTTCCTCAAGTTTGCATTACAAAAAAATTATTATATTTCAAAGAAAAATCCTATGGTAATATATTTCAATGGAAATTTCAACGGATACTCCAATGGTATAGCTTCTTTTAGAATGATTCCAACGAAAATATTCCGTTGGAATGTGTTTTTCATTGGTATTTTAAATTTAGATGGAATTTGGTAATTCTAACGGCTTTTTACTGTAGGAATTTTCGTTGAAATTTTTATTTCCAACTCCGTTGAAAAATTTACTGCTAGAATTGTCAAAATCCGACGGAAATTTCAATGAAAAACTCATTCCAACGGAATATTTTTGTTAGAATTTCCGTTGGAATCCATTAGAAATAATATCATTGAAAAAAATCTCTTGAAATTATCGTTGGAATTCTATTTGAATATATATTTCCGTTGGAATTTCATCATTTTCTAGTAATGTTGAAACTATGCAAAATAATAACAAATAGTAGAAAATAAAAAAATTAAAAATAGAAGTCACTTGCTGTATTTTTTAGGCTGTTCATTTTTTCCAGCCACAGCATACTCATATATGTGCATCTTGAGCTGTTTAATTACATGCACGAAAATTAAAAAACCTAACGAAATTAAGGTCAAGACTACTCAAATCATATTGGCCAAATTTAATTTGACCAAGACTTTTTTCGTTGACCCAAATGAATTTTTGACCCTTTTAGATGTCGAGGTTATGTGGTGAGCTAGGCCATAATGGAAAATAATCCAATCCATGACCAATTTCTGGCTCCAAATCCATTTCCAAAGTCGTATTAGGGACATCATTTTGGTCACAATCCAATCCAAGTTCATTCTCTAGCATTTTGAACCATTCATGTTCGACTCCGTTTTTTCGTTCGGGAATTTTTAAGGTCTCGGGTTCGCGATTTTCATCCAACGAATCGAAAAGTTCCCAAAAATCCACATCGGACTCTAACGGGATTTCAAATTTTTCGTCATCATCTATGGTGATTACCTCGATTTTCGAAAAGTCCGATGTTTCTCTGGAATTCAAGACGTAAGAAGATGTCGGCGAGTGTTCGGAAATAATCGAGTCTTTCGGGTCCTTGTTCGAGTGATCAGGTTTTTCAATGTCCTGACTGATGAGTGGATTGTTCGATTCTGGATCGTCGGATGACGCGATCGAGCTCGAGGTACAACACTGAGAAGCTGAGGTTGTAGGGTTTGGTTGGGAGTGGTCACTTGCACTTGCTTCACTAGTTTTGTTGTGGCAATGAGAAGTTGTACTTTGTTGGTCTTTTAGTTTTTTCTTCAAGTGGGTGTTCCAAACGTTTTTTATCTCGTTATCTGTCCTTCCCGGTAANCAAAAAAAAAAAAAAAGAAAGAAAACAAAAATATGACATTTTAACTGATATTCATAGTTTCGAACTGAAACGTAATACTCTGAATAGCAACATAAACAAAAGTATTGCATTTCATAGTATAAAATCATGCATTTTTAATTTAATAAAAAAATAGAGTTGACCCGCGCAACGGTTAGACTGTCTCATAAAAAAATTTGTTGCCTGTTGGTATTATCATGTCTTACCGTTAACTTAACATACTTTTTTTTTTCATAAATATACATAAATTCATTAGAACTGACATATATAGTTTAAAATACAACGTAAACGAAAATACGACATTTGATAATATAATTACATATTTTTATTTATAAAGTATGACAGCTAATTATTAATTTGTCTAATTATTAGTCTGAATCACATCGAAAATTGTGAAAATAAAAAGAGCTATTATAAGTTGGTGAAATTCTGTATTCACTAAATTCACCTATTGCCAATAGAGTTGTGAAGGTTGATTATGGTTTGCTCTTCTTCAGGCGTGAAGTTGCCTCTTTTGACGTCAGGCCTTAGGTAATTTATCCACCTCAGACGGCAACTCTTACCACATCGTAATAATCCTGCCAAAAAAACCATATCGAACTTCATTAAATTTTAATAAAAAAGTAAATAAATTTTTATGTGAGACTATAAAACCATTAGACTCGTCATATTATGACTAAAAATGAATACGTGTGATTAAAAATATCATATTTTTGTTTATATTATCTTTTGAAATAAGACGTTTTAGTTTAAAATATACATATTTATTAAGAAAATATAGATATCTTAATCACTAAAAAAGTTAATTGCCCACATAAAAAGAAAAAATGAAAAGGGGACCAATTATTTATGTGGAACTTGGAAGTATATATCGTCCAACCACTCTTTGAAGTTTACTTTTGAAGAGATCTTTTGATTTAAGTTTAAGAAACCTAATTGTAGCCACAAACTTATTGGTTACTTCCTAAACTAGAGAAGTGAAGAATTTTTTATCATTTAGATATGGCTTTTGGTTTGGAGTCATATTATTGATTTAACAATTATTCGAGTATTATTATGTACTGCAAAATTTAATTATGTAATGCACGAATATTCCAATATTATATGTCTCGTCAAATTTAATTATGTAATGCACGGATGAGTACTAAAATCAACAACACGACTCGATAAACAGACCGCTATAATGGATCTATAGAAAATCAAGAAGATAAAAGTAATTTTGTTTCTCTTATTTTATAATGCTCAACATCAAATAAACATGGTATATATACATATATTAATTTGATGGATATAAAATTTGAAAAGTTGATAGAAAAATACCATCTCAATCCAATATTTTTTATCTATTTCTGAATACAAACGTATAATTCTCATAAAAAGAAACAAAAGCTTCAAAAATCAAAATTCCATTTTTGTGTGATTATCATTAAATACATCAATAGAATCATCATTCTCCAGTTACATTAGATACCAACTGTGTCACGTGTTCAAACAACAATGGCACTTTAACCAAAAAAAAAATATATATATATATATGTATATGAAAATCTCAAAATTTTCGATATTCATTCGATCGATAAAATCCAAAGCTCGACCTTGTTGATATGAAGAAAATCATATAGCAAAAAAAACGACCGATTTCTAAAATTTACCAGCTTGTTTAGGTAGCGCACGCCAATTGCTATGTCCGTGTTTTTGAATGAAAGTCGTGAGCCTTAAATCTTCGGCCGGGCTCCACGGTCCCTTCTTCACCTTCGTCTTGTCGCAACAAGGAGCTCGGCCTCGACCCATTTTTCGACACGTCGAAAAAGAATGTTTGAGAGTAATGATTGAGAAAAAAAAGAAAAAGAAAAAGAAAAAAGCTATGAAGGATGAAAAAATTTTATGTATATATGTTTAAGGTGTAACCACCCTTGATGTGAAGTCGTTGTTAGTCTCCTTACATGGTGGATTTTCTCATTCAATTCACATTCTGCCTTTATGGCTTTATATATATAGGTTTAGTAAAAGTGACGTTAGCACGTGACCTTTATATATAGGTTGTTAGTCGTTGTATTACACGGGTGCTTGCTAAAATATTTTTTTAAAATTTAAAATTAATGAAAAAGTGGTTGAAAATTTAAATTTTTTTTAAAAAAAAATATATTTTTTTATATATTTTAATATGACATTTGTTACTTGTGCGATTTACCTGTGTTATATTTATAATAATTTTCTAACTTATAACCTACATTAAACATAAATATATATTCCTCCCACTTTTTCAGCTGTTGGCTGCTGTGTATTCAGCCGTTGGCTCCTATATATTCACAAATTTGTGTCTTTTGATTTATAATATTATCTATTGTTTTGAAAAAAAAAATATATAAATATATTAATTGAGAAATTATTTTATTTTTTAATTAATCTTAATAAACAATTTTGTTATTATTATAACGATAAATATAACTTATTTATTTTATATATACAATATGGATCTCAGATCAAAGCTCATCAAAAGATGAATAATTTGATATATTATATATGTAAAACCGATAAGAAATACAAAAGTTATAAACTTTTAAAATATATTTACAATTCAATGATATAATAGGAAAAAATATTAAAATACAATTAGTACATCTAAGATGATCATAAAATAAATCAACTTATTTATGGTAATCCGGACCTACTTATTTTTGGATTGGAATTAAATTAAAATTTATCTAAGCCAAATAATGAAGCATAGAATTTTGACACCTAGGATCTCGAAGCATGCGAGCCTGCCACTTATGTTCAGCACATTCGAGAATTATATATAGGGGGTGTTAGGACTTTTTTACTGATGCATATACATCTGATGTGTACGGACGGGATTATTTTGATTATATTAAGTATTAAATAAAGTTTAAATTCAATCATATACAAAAATATAATGAATAAGTTATGATTATTTAATTTATTTTAATTTAGACATAATTGTAGGTATATTTTAATTTAAATATTTCTTAAGAATTATAGAATGCTAAATTCTATTCCTTAATCTTTGATTTTTTAATAGAAAATACAAATTTCTAGATAACGTAATAATTTTTGGCGGGATAATTCTAATATGTCTATCTATAGACTTTCTTCTCTTTTTAGTAATATATATAATTATTCATTATCATAAAGTACATAAAACAAAATATATATATATAATCCTAATTTATAAAAACTAATATTTAAAATAATTAATTTTAAAATGGCCATTATGTATTAAATATAATAAATATGATCAATAAAAATATGTTAAAAAAGATATATATTTTTATAAAAATATTCTACTTCAAAATAATGAAATAAAAATAAGAATAATAACAACGGTTACAATTATAAGTTATGTTACAAGTATATGCTATGATGACGCAACATTTTCGTCTTTTTCACAAAATTACTAAATTCAGTTTAAAGTTTTTAATAAAAAAGGATTATAACTATATATATAACAACCCCAAATTATATATATAAATTAAAATTTTTATTAATCTATTTATTATTATAAAAATTAATATATATCATATTTAAAATATTAAATTTGTTAAATTAGGTATTACAATTATCATATCATATTAATATAGTTTTTTATTTAACTAACACAAATACATTTGAAAGTTGTTACAAATAATTCGACAGTCATTATAAATTTAANTTTATTTATATATAGATTGTGTGAGTGTAATAAAGTGATTTTGGATTATGCATGTGTATTGTAGAAATCCATTGATTATCTTATATCCCTTAAATGATGATTAGGGATAATGAGATTGTGGTTCTTGCAATTTTATAGATTTTTCCTCCAACTGTCGACTATATTTCATATTGGCATTAAGTGCGAGTTATGAAGAGATTAAAGTATTATTAGAAAATTTGTAGGACATTATTAATGCTGACACAATTTATGTTGTTATTTTTCTATAAATTGGTATGTAAACATATATACGGAGGGCCCACATCATTCTAACCTCATATTTGATTTCTTTGAGAGTTTTATAAAAAAAATTTTGTTGGTAAATACAGTAAGCGATCTTATAATTTATTTAATTAGTATATATATATATATGTATAGGGATTGGTTCCAATGCATCCCATTATTTAAAGTGAGGACGTGAGACTCATTACTAGCCACAAGATTTAGATCTTGATTTAAATAATAATTCTTTAATTTTATTACTAGTACAGAGCCCGTGCGATGCACGGGATGTACATTTTTAAGGCTATTTATCTAGGCTTATAATTATATACATGAATAAAGAAAGATGTACGGAATATATATAGTACGTGACCCGTGCAAAGCACGAGATATATTTATTTAGAGAATATTATATTATAAGATGCAATATTCAATAAAAGTTTATAATACGCAAGAAAATTATACAATGTTCAATAAAAGTTGTATAATATTCAAGTGGAGTCTTAAAGTCTCTTGTACATTAAGACTACTGACAAAATAATATTTTAATCAATGAGTTTCCTTTTCTTGTAGCCAAATTGTGAATGTGATTTGAGGAGTACAACAAATCGATATATGACTTGCTTTTTTCATTGTATTTTTTTTTATTATTATTATATAATGAATTTAAAGATATTCTAAAATATAGCAAAAATTAATTTTTTTATTACAATAAGGAATTTTACTAAATATAACTCTCAATCTATGGTGTTAATCAACGTTTAAGTCTAAAAAATTAGAAACTTTTACCTCTTTTAATCAACGTTTAAGTTTAAAAAACAATAGAGTTATTCTAAGTTTTTTTTTCTACATCTTTTAAGATATTAAATATGAGCATGTTAGGGCTAGCTTGTAAAATAATTAATATATTATCTCACTAAAACATTTATACTAATAAAAATTTAATTTTAGCATATAAATTTATCCCTTGATATAAGAGAAAGTAACAGTTTTACTTATTGTTGTTTACCATATAATATTTAATTATTATTTTATTATATAATAAAAAAATATTGTTAAATAGTGTAGTAGAATTGTTATAAAATTATATGATTTTTTTTTTTTAATATGGATTTAATATTTTTTTATGATTTGATAATATAAACAAATCTATACTTAACTTTGACAAATAAAA